GAGAGAGAGAGAGCTGAGACTTGGCGACTATTCGGGATATCCGCCCAGACTTGGGCATTGCATTCTGGACAGAGACTATTTTGGAGGATCATTGTGGAGACTACTCTTCCGCAGAGCTAACGAGTGCAGTCTCCCCCTTCTTCTCCCGTCTTCGTCAATTCCTCCCTCCTCCATCTGTGGATGCATTATGGGCATGGCAACTAACTTCCGTGTGTGAGCCCCCATGCCCATTTCTGTGTACGAGTGATGATGGATGGATGTATGCAGTCCTGAGTCCGATGAGTCAGATCTTTGTATTTCAGTCTTCCGCTGCATTGCTACTGTGGTTGTTCTTCATGGTGATCCTTGATTCTTGCGCCATATCTATCTGCTACTTCTAGGCATGCGACAGAGAGGAGGAAGATGCCAATTCTCTACATCTAGAGATCTGATCTTTGGCAATCTGCATAAGGCATGTGAATTCCTTTTCGGCTACCGTCTTCACCTGAATAGAACACCCGGTCATTATCATTGCATCTGGACTGAAAGTTGGGCCAAATGCAGCTATAATGACCAGGCGTTCTATTCGGGTGAAGACGGTAGGTTGGCAGAAGCAAGCTATAATTCATCATAAGCAAGCTATTCATCATACTGTCAGCGAAAAGAGACGAGAAGGATAAAAATTTGGCCTTTTGCGAGTTTGTTAAGGGCAAGGGATCAAACCTCTCGAAGAAGGTAGCGATTGTAGCTGTTGGCTTCACTTAGCTTGATACTCAGGCGGCGCCGTATCCTTGAAATCTGTGGCACACATGAAACAAGATCAACTAGAAAAACAAAACTCAGTTCCACTGTATCAGGGGATTAGGTCCCCCAACATGAGCACACATTCTTTGAGTGAATTAAATGTGCACTTGGACATATTCAAGGCTCGATTCGTCCATAGAGAAGTCCTGCCGTCTTCACCCAAATAGAATGCCCGGTCATTCCGGCTGCTGCATCTGGACTGAAAGTTATTCAAGCCTAGATACATCCATAGAGAAGTCCTTCCGTCTTCACCCGAATAGAACGCCCAGTCATTCCGGCTGCATCTGGACTGAAAGTTGCCCCAAAAAATACGGCTATACTGACCGGGCGTTCTATTCAGGTGAAGACGGTAAATTTAAAGTGGGTATACCCCGAGATCTTATAGCTTGTTATCTCTGCCACACATGCAGCAAAGATCGATTAGAATACCAAAACGCAATTTCATTGCATCCATGGATTTCTTTTTCTTTTCTTTTTTTCTTTTTCTTTGGAACATCCCGCTGGCACTGCAAAAACCTGGGGCGGTACGAGCAGCCCCATGTTGCAGGCCTCCTGGAAGCCTAGGCTCCTATTCACTGCATCCATGGATTAATGGACTGAGTCCTCATACTGGGAGGCTACTACTTTTTACAAATTTACGCCGAATTTGGACACATTCACAGTTGGATACGTCCACACCACAGAGAAGCCCTACCATCTGCAACCGAACAGAACGCCCAGTAATTCATTACAGCTGTACTTGGTGGAACTTTCAGTCTATATACAGCGATAATGACCGGCCGTTCTATTCGGGTAACGACGATAGTTGAAATATGCCCTAAGACACCTTGTTGCTTACAGCTATTGTGAGAAGATATTCATCTGTCCAATGAAATGAATTGTGTGCTGCATGCGGGTCGCCTGCAGTGCACTAGCCGTCCGGAGCAGGTATACCTTCACAGAGGCCCAATGGTTCATTTCAGCACATGCTTCATTAAACCACCCCTGTACTTTTGACCCTTCCCTTGCCGAGCCTCAAAACGCATTGCATGCCAAAAAAAAAAAAAAAAAAAAAAAAAAAAAAAAAAAAAAAAAAAAAAAAAAAAAGGCGCAAACTTTCTTTTGGCTGGCCCCTTCAGCGCACGCTTCATTAAACCACCAGTATGTTCGACCCTTGAAACTGGTGGCTGAATAAACGCTGCATCAGATAAAAATGGCTGGGAAACGAACTGGCCGTTTGATTCATATTATTTCATAATGATCTTTTTAACAAGTTTTTATTACCCTTTAAGTCTGTGCATATTAGATGGATCATTGTGTCAGTTTGTACCTGGCTTGTGGGTGAAATGTACACGGCTACTACACGGATGTAACTGGTAATAAACAGATCATCAGTTGGAATCCTGAGGGATTAAATAATGTTAGGGCTACCCCCTTTTAGAAACAAGCAATCACTGGATCAGCAACTTCGACTTGTCTGAACATACCTTCACACAGGCCCATACCTTCACACAGGCCCACACAAACATACTTTTTTACACAGGCTCTCCTGGATGCATCTATGAGTACCTGCCCCAATGACACGGAAGGCCTCCCCTACATGGATGGCCTCCCCATGGCCTGCCCCAATGACATGGACGCTGACCAGCACACGATCCATGGAAAGCAACCCCCATGCCTTGACAACTGTGCAACACAATAAAATACTGACAATGCGATCAAACCCATGACAATAAACTCATCATTCTCTTAAACCAAAAAAAAAAAAAAAAAAAAGAGAAAGAAAGTGACAAGCAAATGGCCAAATTGCTTGCAGAACACCGTTGGTGATATACCTTTAAAGCAATAACAATGCGAAATTGTGAATCATACGATCATGGAGATGATGATGCATGTGAGAATTCCAAAATGGTGATACCTTTGCGAGGCACAAGACCTCGATACGGGCCCCTATTTGCAACAGCGTCGGCCGCCCTAAGTGAAGGCAGGCCTGACAGACCCTAAGAGGCCTATTTGGGACTACTTCGCAACTGGGGAAAATTCAGGCAGTTACGCAGCGCCAGTTGGTTGGAAGCGCCCGGGCCCTGGCCTCCTTTATCAAATGCATCTGAGTCAGGCCCTGGCCTCCTTTATCAAATGCATCTGAGTCAGGCCCTGGGCGAGATTCGCAGCATAGGCCCAACTCAGGCTGTGGGCAGTTGGGCACAGGTAACTGTCAGTGGCCCTGGGCCAACTCGTTTGGTCTGAGGCTCAGCCTCCCTGGGCCTACCGGAAGCTTCTGGACAGAGGCCCAGCACAGCCAGGCTGCACGCACGCAGGTTGGCCATTTCCATATACGAAAGGGCCAGCCCACGCTGACGGCATTCGGGCACTGGCTGCTTTGTGCGCAAGCGCTGCTGCGCTATCGCCTGCCAGGCTCACGCGCTCATGGGCGAGCTGGAAGGAGCAGGCAGCCATAGCCGAGCTGCGCTGCTGTATGCTGGATGGGGCGCATGGTGGTCCTTGGGTGCAAGTGGCATCTGTGAGTGGGGGAACACGGTTGTGAGTGATACGAGAGACATACCTGGTGCTTGAGGAGACGGCATTGTCCGAGATCTGCTCGTACTTCAGTGAAGCTGTTGATGTCATCCGACGGCATTGTGGAGTAGGCTACACATAGATAGGATCTGCCATCTGTAGTCTGGGCGCCGAGCGCCAGATAGGATATCAACATTGGTTCTTCATTGATGATGATGAGACAATTCCAGCATTGTCAATTATGAGCTTTTGGTGTGTTCTTATTTGATGAAACTCGTGATGCAATTCTGCTTTTGGTTCGAGGTCACGCCTATCTGGTCTCATGTGTATGATGCTGTTTGATTTCTGTAAGTTCGGTATCGCTCATCTTCCTTGCACCTCTAAAGCAATGGCAATAACAATTACGATGACGACAACATAATAATGCTGACGAGATGCTAAGATGATGGGTTAATGTTGATGGATGATGAGACGATCACAACTATGATAATGCACAATCATGATTGATTATGGCTAATGATGATGATGGCAACCATACTAACAATGAACGTGTGATGATGACGATAAGGATGATCATGATGACGCATATGGCGATGATGACGCTAATGATGATGATGATGATGATGATGATGATGATGATGATGATGATGATGATGATGACTAGCATGACAACGATGGTCAGAGCTGCGCGAAATTGTGCAAGTAGAGAGGAAATTTAGGAGAGGGTCAAGAAGGACGTGGTGGAGGAGTGAGATCAAGAATTTCGGAGAGGGAGGGAGAGGGGTAGGGGCGAGGGCGGGGGCGTGGGTAGAGGGCGGGGGCGGGGGTGGGGGGAAGGGCATGGGTGGCAACAAGAAGAAAAACAAGAAGCATGAGATGCAGTGGCTACCTCTGCTTTTTCCGCACGCTTCACAAAATTTCCATTGCAATCCGCATGTACAAAGCACTCAGATACACGAAGGAGAAGGAGGAGGAGGAGGAGAAGGAGAAGGAGGAGAAGGAGGAGGAGGAGGAGGAGGAGAAGAAAGAGAAGCAGAAGCAGAGGCAGAAGCAGAAGCAGAAGCAGAAGGAGAGGGGGAGCAAGACGGAGAAGAAGACCCACAAGGAGATGGAGAAGGGGAAGAAGAAACAGAGGGAGAAGACAAAGAAGGAGGAGGAGGAGGAGGCGGAGGAGGAGGAGGAGGACGACGAAGAGGAAAAGGGGCACAACCCGAATGAGCTTCCACAAGAACGTGATCAGTATTCCGAGCGAAGCCATAATGAATACACAGCTCTGTACATTTTTGTTGTGGAGGTCAGATATCACCTAAGGGGAGAAAGATAAAGAACACAAAACAAAGCTGCCCTACGACGTACTTACATGTGGGACTTTCCTTCCGATGCATTTTTCTAAATTAACGACCAGATTCAGTCAGATAAAAAAAGTGT